GTCAAAAAAATAAATAAAAAATTTAACATGCTTGATACATGGCCTCATAGTTGAACTCTATCGAGTTGTAACATTTTATCAAGAAACATAAAAAATAAGTTCCTTGGGATCATGATTCTTGGCTGCTCAAAACTTACAAATTTACAATACCTCTTGCTAGCATAGTTTTGCGTAGTTTAGATGTACACCCTTTAACGGCAAAGGGATTTGAACGGAACATTTGTGTATATTTCATTGTGACTTTCCTGGAGAAGAGATATGTCTTGACGTGGGAAATAAGTTATTGTTTGAATTCAGCAGCCGTTATTGTTGAATGTGGTGTACGAGTCTTGACCAAGGAAGTGAAGAGAAGTAGCTAGGAAAGCAAGAAATATGGATTAGACCAAGTTTCTGAGGATAAAAATGAATGGAGCTACGAGTTTGAAACCGGTGAGGTCTTGGAAGCATCTGACCAGAAGGACTGCTCAAATAGACTAATTTGTGACTCGGAATCAGAAGAGAATGATAAAGGCAAAGAGCATACAAAATGTTGGAGTGTTCTGTTCATATACTTTGTAACTATCTCATATTATGAGGAATATTGGAATTTTTGGTTGGGGAACAAGACGACCTAATCCATAAGGGAATTGTTCATCACGAATACACCAGCATGCAAAATGATGATGATGATGCTGCCATTGTTGAAGAATGCTCTCGTTATCTCTTTCTTGAGATTTCTGAAATTTAGAAAATGCTCTAGTTGACAAAATGATTAGATGTGACTAAAAGAAAGTATCGTTTTAGATTCATCATGTTGTGTAAAATTTGTAACATGCATTGATATTTCGTTGACAAACATGTATTCATTGGCTTGTTCGTCGTGCAAGCATATATTACAGAACCGTGTGAATTATATAAATCGGCAAAAAGAGATTAAACTATAATTTAATTGTATATGTACACAAAAGTGACCAATTAAAAATTTAAAATCACCAAAGAACTCTTTTCAAAAATAACTCAGCAAACAATTAATAATCATGAGTTAGTCGTAGTAGTAGTACTGTAGTAGTAGTGCCAATAATCAATATAGTTACAAGAATCATTCATTCACTCACTCAATTCATTCAACGTTTGTTAAAGTAATACTATTTAAAATTTGAAGGACTACATTATCACTAAAAAGTTCAACTGAAAAATGGAATATGAAATGAGATGATTGCATATTTGGAATAAATAAAAAATTGACATTTTTTTTTCTTTTTTTTTTTTTTTTTTGACATTATACAATTTAGCAATTGAAAATGAGATAGCATCATCTTGAGGCAACTCATTAGACAACCAGTAGATCTTTCCTCCGACAAAAACATGACTAAATCTGAATGGACCAACACTAGAATCCATCGGAGCACAAAGCACTGGGCCGATGTTTTCCCAAACACCTCACATTGACATGCGAGAACGTAATGCCTTTTTGCAAAGATTTGACATTGCTGAACATAATACCTATAGATATGAATTCTTCAGGAATTTTATATCCAAAAACTGTGTAGTCACTAAACACCTCACATTGACATGCGAGGACCAATTTCTTATTCCATTTCTTTAACACACTCTCCAGCTTCCCCAGTGCACTTCGTGTATCAATACTTGAATCCCACGACGCCAATAGTAACTCTCAAGAAACACGTTAACTTGCAAGATCTTATTTCAATTTTCTCTATTAAACCATTGTTATCTTCAATTTCTCATTTTTATTTTTCATTTCTCATGGTTTCTTCCTATTCTTCTACGTCTCGCAATTACAGATTGAATGTCTTCCCGAGCTTCCGTGGAGAGGACGTCCGTAAATCATTTCTAGGTCACTTGCGCAAACAGTTTAACTACAATAGGATCACGATGTTCGATGATCAAGGGATTGATAGAAGCGACACGATCTCCCTTTCACCCATACAAGCGATAAGACAGTCGAGGATCTCGATTGTAATTCTCTCGAAAAAACTACATGATCGAGAAGAATGAAGCAAACATGATCGAGAAGATTGCAAGGGATGTTTCACGCAAACTACATGCTTTACCGTCAAAGGACTTTAAAGACATGGTTGGTCTTTCAGCTCATTTGAATAAAATGAGATATTTGTTACGTTTAGATGATGAAGATGGAGCTATTATGATAGTAGGAATTTTTGGCCCTGTAGGCATTGGTAAGATTACCACTGCCAGAGCTTTACATAGCCAACTCTTAGTTGCTTTATTGACAATCTTAGGGAAAACTATATCAGTAATCTTGACGATTACGGATTGAAGCTTTGTCTACAAGAGCAACTTCTTTCAAAGATTTTAGACCAAAATGGTGTAAGGGTATGGCATTTAGGTCCAATAGAAGAAAGGCTATGCGTATTAGGGATAAATATCCCACATCGGAAGTTGGAAGGGATCTCAAGTAGTATATAAGGGATGTGGGCCTCTCCACTCATTGCCAATTGGTTTTGAGTTGGAAGCCCATGTAACTTAACATGGTATCAGAGCCCCGATCCATATATTCCAATCCGATCCGACCCATAGTTGGTCCAATCATCGACCATGCCCAAAATTGGTGCTTGCGATCCAAGCCCGAACATACCAAGATCGATGGCCAGATCTCAAGTAGTATATAAGGGATGTGGGCCTCCCCACTCATTGCCAATTGGTTTTGAGTTGGAAGCCCATGTAACTTAACAATGCGATCAAAAAGTGCTTATCATTCCACATCATGATTTTAAGGAGCTTTCACTAAGAGTTACAAAGCTTTGTGGTAACCTTCCATTGGGTTTACGTGTGGTGGGTTCCTTCCTCGTTACGTGGGAAGAAATAAAAAGAGGGGGAAGAAGTATTGCGAAGGCTATAAACTATTCTTGATCAACCAGATATCGAGAAAGTACTAAGCATTGGATATGAGAGTTTACATGAGTATGTGCAATCTTTATTTCTCCACATTGCTGTTTTCTTCAACTATAAAGATGGCAATCTTGACATCTTGTGAATGCCATGCTTACTGACGATAACTTGGACATCGAATCGAACACGGGTGGAAAACCCTAGTAGACAAACCTCAAACAACCAACATTTTTTTTTAATAAATATTAATCAATTCTAGCGAAGGTCTTTAAAATAAATTAAATAAATAAAATATCAATAACAAATAAATCAGCTCAGCGGAAGCAAATAATAATTAAACAAGTCTAGCAAAATAATGCAAAACAATAAAACAGTAAACATCCTATCATCCCCCTCTTCAGCCTTGATTCCGCGATCACACAAATCTTTTACCTGCAACACATTGGAATGGAGTTGCGTAAGTATTTAATAAATACTTAGTGAGGCAATCACTCTGCCTACGAGCCATTTACGCAATTTACTAGATATTTAATAATATTTATAAACTCCAATAATTATTAAATACCATTTTCCAATTATTAAATAATTTTTAATAATTAAAACTCAATTTCTCAATTATTAAATAATTCTCATAATTAAATAATAATTTTCCATATTTTAAAATAATTAAAATAATTATTTTAAACCAATTAATTAATTAATTAATTAATTAAATATTATTTAATTAATTAAATCCGAATTAAATCTATTTAATTCCATTAAACCAATTAAATTCAATTAAACCAATATAAACCAATTAAATTCAATTGAACCAAGATAAACCAGAATCAAATCAATTAAATTCAATTAAACCAGATTAAACCACACAAACACACAATTCATCACATAAACAACCAAAATATCATGAAATAACAATTAAAACACATAAACTCATCAAGAACAATCACAAACCAAATCTAATCTAGCAAATCGCGGACCCACAGTCATGCACTCACCTTGACAATGGATTGAAACTGAAGGAAAAAGGAAAGACGATGAACAGTGCCGAATCGCGGATGAACAGTACCGATGAACAGTACCGTGAACAGTACCGATGAACAGTAACCGTGAACAGTACCGATGAACAGTACCGATGAACAGTACCCGATGAACAGTAAAATCTTTTCCAGAACTCTCAAAATCGCCTTTCTCCTTCTCTGCCTCGAAAAACGTGATGAACAGACGGCTGCTTCTCCTTTAAAACGAAAATAAGGGTTTCCAACTTAACCGGGCTAAACCACCCAATTTCACTCAAATTGAACCAAAATCAATTATCAATTATTTGGTTTATGGATGTTACAAAACCTCTCATAAATATATCTACAAAAGGGGAAATAGTGATGCAACAAGTAGGTAGACAAGCCTGCTATTCATAGAAAAGAGCCTTGGAAACGATGCTCAATAGATCTGTGATGATGTCCTTGAAAATGATACAGTGAGCTTCTTCTCATATCTATTTTATTTTTTTGCTACTTGCACTTCAAAAAAAAGGTCACTTGGTGAAGAGAAAAAAGCTTGCATATTTGTGTATTTCTGCAAACATTAACTTACTTTAATTTTTTTTTTTCTTTTGTAGCACACATGAATATAAGCCATCCCATTTAAAATTTAATATAAATTGTAGCCTAGAAAATATGGTTATTGCTCTTGTCTTGCCGATCATTTTATGGAAAATGTCACGTTAAAATTTACAAAATCAACTATAGTCAATGTAAAGCTGGAGTAATTAATTGACATTCAACTGATATTGTTATGCTAGCCTAGCCATTGTGTTTATTTCTCTTATTTTGCTAATTATTTTATGGAAAACGCCACGTTCACAAAATCAACTATAACAATATATGGCTGGAGTAATTAATTCACATTCAGCCGATTTTTTTTTGCTAGCAAATATTACTTTATTTACCGTTGGCAATCTTGATAATGATAAGGATAACAGCTGGTGATAATACATTTTCCAGGCTGGTGATATCATAATTTAGAAGTGGCAAATGGGTAAATAACATGTATTTTATAGGCTATAAATAGAAAACTGATTGTACTAGCTAGTCAGTACTCACCTTAATCTCATTACAACCATTCTCCTGCGTCTGAATTTTGACCCTGCCATGAACCCTAAGAAGCTCAAACGGTTCGGTTATATCATTTTCATTTCTTAAAAATTACCATGCGATAGTATGTAAATATCATTAGCCTTCGTTAATTTTTTCCATATGCAATATTGCAGCATAGTTTCAAACCGTGTTGCGGCTCAGCAATTAAGGTGGAAGAAGCTTCAATATGTTAATGATCTAAAGAAGCGAGAGAGAGAGCTTCGTGTATGTTTATATAAGATTTTGTATTACTTTCCCTCTGTATCCTTACATAATTTTATAATATTAAATATAAATATATAGTGGCAGGTGAGTGTTTTGCGTGTCCGAAAAATGATATTGATTGAGCAGAACCGACGTGCACAGAGGGAGAAATTGGAGCTTAAGGAGCATTTGTCTGCTGTACTTCAACATTCAATCTTCCTAAAAGGTATATAATCAGTTAATTAGATACTATTATATTTAGAATTTGATATATAATAGTCATTATAATGCTAATTAATAGGTCTGATTGAGGCGCTTAGAGCACAGACTGAGAGTTTGAAGAAGTAATCGACTCCTTCGAATTGACTATCCGCGCCATGCATCTCCTTATCTTAAGATCCTACCCAAATTTCATATGTTTCGCTTTTTCAGTTTTGTTTGGTGTTATTGTCAAGTGGTTGTAGTTTTTGTTTGGATTGTAATATTTTGTTTTGAAGATTAAAAAAACAAAAAATTGAGTTCAATTTTGGGGAAATAAAAATCTTATTAGACCAAATGGATGTTTACATCAATTTTTATGGCTCGATTGGATTTACGCAGAATGAACAACACATCAAATTATAAATCACTAAATGAAATTACAACATATTAACAGCGGACAGAGAAAAAAATGAAATAGAGTAAATATTGTATTAAAATATTGTTTTTTCCATCATAGTTTTGGTCGTTTTTTCAATAATAGTTTTGTCATTTTTTGTTACTACATATCAATTGATTTCTAAACCGCTTTAGGAAAATAAAAATGCCAATTCTGAATTTAAGATATAAAAAGGCTGTAAGTATTATAATACAATTTTATTTTTTTCCACAATAGTTTTTGTCGTTTTCTCAATAATAGTTTTGTCATTTTTTGTTAAGACATATCAATTTATTTCTAGACCGTTTTAGAAAAAATAAAAATACCAGTTCTCATTTTAAGATATAGAAAGGCTGTATAGAAATTTAAGAAAACGGCTATATAATGATTGGCATGCATACACACTTTGTTTTCCAACTCTCCTTGTTTTTTTCCTATTTGCTTTCTCTCTATTTTCACACACGCATATTATTAGTTAATGACTCATACACACACCACAAGTTCCCACAAGAATTTTGATATCAATCTCTAGATTCACATCCTTTGTCATTTCTCTTGGTAGAGTCCCTTTTTAAAACATTAAGGTGTCACGAATTTCAAATTGCTCGCAAATTGTGTACTCAACGGAGATTAATTACCACTTACCGGTAAAATGAAAATCAAATACATGGACACACACAGATCTCTGATATTTAAAATAAAAAAGGATGTACGTATTATATTACAATATTATTATTATTTTTCCATAATTGTTTTTGTCATTTCTTCAATAATAGTTTTATCATTTTTTATTACTACATATCAATTGATTTCTAAACAGTTTTAGGAAAAATAAAAATGTCAATTCTGAATTTAAGATATAAAAAGGCTGTATAGAGGAGTTAAGAAAACCGCTATATAATGATTGGCATGCACACACATCTACGTTTTCCAATTCTCCTTGTTTTTGTCTTATTGGTTTTCTCTCTATTTTCACGCGCGCATATTTTTTGTTAATGACTCATACAAACACTACAAGAAACTAAAGTTCCGTAAAGATTGTGATATCAATCTCTAGATTCACAGCCTTTGTCATTTCTCTTAGTAAAGTCCTTGTTTTTAACATTACGGTGTCACGAAATTCAAATTGCTCGCGAAAATATTTTACTCCACGGAGGTTAATTACCGCTTACCGTTAAAATGAAAATCAAATATGTGGGCACGCGCACATATCTCCTTGGGCATGTATTTACCGGATTCTGGAATAAACGATTCAATCGAATCGATCACTGATATACACATATATTAACATATTTTTAACATACTTTTACATGCATATTTACACCATCTAAGTCTCATTTGCACACATTTAAGTCTTCATATCTTTATCTATACACTTGCATCCTCTTTGGGACATGCATTGCATATACATTGCATTTTGAGTCTTAGGGCCAGACTGGTTTAACCGCTGCGGTTGCGGGTGCGGGAGTTTGCGGAAGCGGGCGGTTGTGATTAGTAGCGTTATTAAGCGGTTTGTACGACTGGCATAACAATTGAAAATGGATGCGTTTGCGGGATACTTATGACTGGTTCACTTGCGGATGCAATAGCGGTTAAACAATAAATTAATAATATAAACACATTATATAATTATAAAAATATCAAAACTATATTATAATGAAAATTTTAAATTTATGGTTCAACATAATTAAAAATAATTTTTTTATAAAGAATAATATGTGTATAATACTTACGTCTATTTTTTAATTTCTATAATTTAAATAAAAAATGTGATTTTATTTTCAAAATATATATTTAATGTGAAAATTAAATTTATATTACAATTTTATTTATTAGATATATATGTATTACTATGAAAAGAATATTTATCAAGAGAATTTTGATTTGTAGAACTTATAAATATATAAGTATGATATGATTTTAATGAATATTGACTAAAAGTACTAATTTTTTTTATATTGTGATTTTATTATCCAAATCTTATTTTTTAATAAAGATTATTATTTATTTTCGGATTTTATATAAGTTTGTGTTTTTTTTTTTTTAATTATCCACCCGCAACCGCAAACGCTGCTGGGAAGGAGCTTTTGATTTTGAGGGTTGTTGAGGGATCTTGAGCGGTTTAAAGCGGTATAAAGCGTTTGTGGTGATTGTTGTCAAACGCCAATAACCGCTACTACCCGCAAACGCTGCGTTTGCGGGTAGCAGCGGGTGAACCAATCAGCACCTTAATCAGGTACTTATGGGAGCTTTGGAGCCAAATGGGAAATTGAAGTGTTGGAGACATAAGAGCTGAGATCAACCAGGATGTCAAACAGGATGTCTCTTCCTTTAGCTCGATTTCCATCCGCAATCACCTAAAGCCATCGCCTTTCTTTATTTTATCTTATCAAGTTCAAGTCTTCTAGCTCAAAGTCGAAACCTTTGCCTTTGAATTCGGATTTTGGACCGTTGTCTACTGTTTAAGTTCGTTATTTTACTGTTCGAGATTTCAGATTTCATAAAAACCAAGTCTTTGTTCTTGGCTTGAATTTTTCTTGCATTTCTTTAAAACCCAATCTTCTCTGAGATTTGGATTGACACCTTTACTATACTGCGATGATATGAGCAGAGATTTGAGGGTTTGAATCTATTAAAAATCTTGTTTTCAATCACTGAGAAACTTCTTAGTAACCAGAATGGTACAATTCATACTCAGTTTGGTTTGGTCTGGGTTCTTAGCCTAATATGACTTTTTGACTTTTTCGATTCAGTAAGTTCCACACTACAAACTTCACAACAACAAAATTGTAAACATCTATTATACGGCCGGCAATTAATAGTCAAATGATTTTTAGTCATTTTCTTGAAGATGCAGCTAGATTGACACAGTTCGTGCATCAATCAGGAAGTACATTAGGACTATTGGAAAGACTTATAGCAGAGCAAAGTGGAGCAAAAGGGATGTTGCTGGCTGAGCTGGATGCGAACTTTTACGGTTAAGGACGAATCCAAAAGAGGCGGTAGCTGAACTGGATGTGGAGATTTGTAATTATTAAGACATAGAATATTTCCATTACTTAGATAAAAAAATAAGGAAGAAAATAGTTTCTTGGAGATCTGGAGTAATTACCAAGGCTGAAACTTTGTAGGGTTTTAGGGATGCACAACTATCCTGTATAGGTAGTGTGTTGCGGCCATGTATGTGACTATCACAAATATTGAAGATGCAGCTAGATTGACACAGTTCGTGCATCAATCAGGAAGTACATTAGGACTATTGGAAGGACTTATACCAGAGCAAAGTGGAGCAAAAGGGATGTCGCTGGCTGAGCTGGATGCAAACTTGTAGCGGTTAAGGACGAATCCAAAAGAGGCGGTAGCTGAACTGGATGTGGAGATTTGGAATTATTAAGACAGAGAATATTTCCATTACTTAGATAAAAAATAAGGAAGAAAATATTTTCTTGGAGATTTGGAGTAATTACTAAGGCTGAAACTTTGTAAGGTTTTAGGGATGCACAACTATCCAGTATAGGTAGTGTGTTGCGGCTATTTATGTGACTATCACAAATATTGAGAGTTTTAGCATTTGGGTTTAGATTTCTTGTAAGAGAGCTAAGACAAAGGATTAGGGTTTGAGAGGTTATTGGATCAAGTATAGATCTGAGAACGTGTGAGTTAGTAAAACAACAAGTCAGGGCTGTCTGTCAGGGCTGTCTGGAGCTTTGTTGAGTTTCGTTTAAGCATATACTTTTAAGATTTCTTTAAAAACTTTTCTAGTAATATATTTCTTTGTAGAAAAATCTCTTGTATCAGATCCTCTTCTGCATCGATAGCTCTTGGTTTTTCATTTTTTATAGTTAAGATTTTTCAGACGATATCATACTCTAATATCCGTTGTCATCAAAACAAAAAGAAAAAAAATTAACATGCTTGATACATGGCCTCATAGTTAAAGCCCTATGGAGTTGTAACATTTTATCAAGAAATATCAGAAATAAGTTTCTTGGGATCTTGATTCTTGGCTGCTTGAAACTTACAATACCTCTTGCTAGCATAGTTTTGATGTACACCCTTTAACGGGAAAGGGATTCAAACGGAGCATTTGTGTATATTTCATTGTGACTTTCCTGGAGAAGAGATATGTCTTGACGTGGGAAGCAAGTTATTGTTTGAATTCAGCAGCCGATTCTGCGAGATTGTTGAATGTGTTGTACAAGTCTTGACCAATGAAGCGGAGAGAAGCAGCCACGGAAGCAATTATAATTCTGGATTAGACCAAGTTTCTGAAGATAAAGATTAATGGAGGTACGAGTTTTAAACTGGTGAGGTTTTGGAAGAATCTGACAAGAAGGAGTGCTCAAATAGACTAATTTGTGCATGACTCGGTATCAGAAGAGAATGTTAAAGGCAAAGAGCATACCAATTGTTGGAGTGTTCTATTCATATGCTTTGACCTATCTCACATCGTGAGGAATATTGGAAGCTTGGAGTTGTTCTCGAAGAATACACCAGCATGCAAAATGATGATGATGTTGTTGCCATTGTTGAGACAATGCTCTTGTTATCTCTTTCACTAGGTTTCTGAAATTTCGAAAATACTTTCTTTGATCCAAAAATTACTCAAGATTTGGAAACTGTTTAAGATCATAAAAATGTCTAGTTTGTACATCTAGAAATATAAGTTATTTTCTAATTGAAGGATGTGTGACCAAACAAAAAAAAAAAC